TATCCCTCTCGGTCTCTCCTTCTAAGAATCTCAAATCATCGATGAAATGCATGCATCAACAAAGTTAAGACTTAAGACTCAAAAGACATCAAAGGGCCCACGAACACGTCAATAACCCAAGGTAGGCTAGGCTAAGGCTGTCATCTCATTAATGGACTATGTTCATTGTTCGTAACCTTTCAATATATGAAATGAACCTTCTACTTTATTATTATTATTTTTTTATTCGACCAAAGTTCATCCAAACTTTGACAGTAGTCCAAACGATTTACTCCAAGCCAAATGCAGCCTTAGTCTGTTGCTCATCATGTGATGGCTTGTAGAATTAGTTCATATTAGTGGGACACTCCACCAAGCTGGCTGCTCATTTGTAAATATTTCGTTTTAATATTTTTTACTTTTAATTATCAGAAAAAATGGATTATATTAGATAAAGGTAATTTTTGAGCCATAATATCAATAAAAGTAATATATTCAATAAATTTTCAAAAATAAATTATTTTTTTTAAATAATATAAAAAAAGGATAAAGTCACTGTTCATCTTGTTCTTCTTATAGCAAAGCCGCCCACGGCTGCCTCCAGCACATCTCCGATTGTTGTTTCCGCCTCCGATTGTCGTCTCCAACGATCGAGAAAGTGTCGCAGATAGTCGGACACCGGCAAGTAAAAACAAATCGGATTACCCTAAGCCCTTCACTTAAGTAACTCATTACCCTAAACTCCGGCTGTCTCTGCCAAGACAGCATGGGTTGGGTCTATGGATACGTGACTCCTCCTTTACTGGAATAAAGACATGAAGTCTTCTCTGACACCCCTTCCAATACCCCATGCGATACCCCCACAGGTGTAGAAGATGGAAATGAGTGATAATGATTCCTTTCCACTGCATCTGTTAATGGCCCTTGTGATCTTTGGACACAGAGAAACACCATTACCAAAGCCAAAACAAAGATCCCACTCAACAATATAGATGATATCACTTTTATCGGTCTCCGGCTAGACACCAGAGTTCCCTCTTGTTCAACTTCATTGTGCAGAGGGTTGTAAGGGTATGGCACGACACGTTCGAGGTCGGGACAGGTCCAGAAGGGATCGGTGTACACAGTGATGCTGGATGTCGTGACGGTGATGGCGATGTTGATGCTAATGGTGATATTCCTACTAAAACCTACCTATTGTGCATATATTTATATATGTTTGAAAGAGAGAAAAGGTCGATGAATTAGACAATGTGTCAGATAAGGAGGTGGTCTGCATATCCTCATTCGTCTGATGCATCCACCTTTTCCTGAGACTGGGCCTATGGGCAAGGTGTTCTGTGGTTGGTTAATTTTCGTGCTTGATTGGAACAGAGAGAGACACAGTGTGTGTGTTCCTATGGCAGTCAGAAACGACAATAAGAGACGACAGCCAAAGGCGGAAACGACAGTCAGAGACATGTCGGAGGTGGGGGGCGGCTCTACTACAAGAAAAAAAAATGAATTGTAACTTTATTTGATATTATTTTAAAAAAGTTAATTTATTTTTAAAATTTTATTAAATATGTTACTTTTATTTATATTAATATTAGAGCCCAAAAATTGCCCTTTTCTAAAATTTATTCGTGCCTATTTGGGAGGGCTGAACAGTTGCAGCAGCGGGCCTTGGTTTTCCGATGTGGGTTCCAAACATATAGCGTAAAAGTTATAAACGAGTAGCCCAGTGCACAAGGTTCCTGTCTAAAGGGTCAGATATATGCAACTTTACCTCACTATATAGCTTCTATCAGGGCAGAGTCCATGCTCGCAACCGTTCGCGTAGCATTAAAACGCGTCACGCATCTTTTAGTGCGTACGTTAAATTAATGCGTGCAAAATGAATTAAATGGAGTCTATAGATTCTATCCTTTACGTTCCGTTCTACTTCCCGCTCGAGACTCGTCGCCTCTCGCCAGTCACTCTCATTCTACTATTCTATTACTTTTCGTTTTTTTTATTCCCGACCCAGTGCAGGTTCGAAACATAACATATTTTTCTCTTCCTTTAATTAATTCTTTGATTTTTTTTTTTTTTTTCTGGGTGTCTGATAAACGAAAAGGAATCAAGAGGACATTTGGTCAAGAAGTAAAACGAGGGCCCTTGCAAGACCAATATTGAAACCGGATCATACGATCAAAAGAAAGACATCGACACTGAAAGAGATTCCTCCTCTTCCTCCTTGGGACATGGTTTCCTTTCACACACCCTCCCTCTCGTACTTTCCATCACCCGTATTTCTTACTTCCACAGCCTTTGATGTATGACATCTCGACAGAGTCCGAAATAACTGAGGTTTTTCTTCGACCGCCGGTATTAACAGTCGCCGGTGAACGGTGCGAGCATCAACTGTGCCCTGATAGAAGCCGGACTCTGTTTGTACATAAAGTGCCTCATTAGGAAAGGGACAGATGGACAAATGTATGCAGTCCAAATCAGAAACTATAATGGAGCAATCCAACCAACCATTGCACCAAGGTCGAATTCGGATTTTGTTCTCATAAAATTCATCTTCACACCATTCTCACAGCCCTTGCAGCTGTGCATTAGAAACTTGTGCATAATTGTATGGTTTTATTCATGGAGATATTTTCAATGCACGGCTGCTATGAAAACAGTGCGAAGATAAAATTCAAATTCTCCAATACAGCTGCCAGTCAGTTATTTAAAAGGCTGTCTGCTTTAACCTCTTATCTTGAGTGCTTCAATACAGCTAAATCATCATAATCATACATCTGATTTCTGAGTTGAGCTCTCCTGATATTTTCACCAAACATAACTTTTAAGCTGTATGTATGATTATGACTTATGAGGCCTACCTCCAAAAGCCAGCCAGAAACCGCTGTGCTTCAGCTCTCCCAGGGGGCTACAAAATCCCAGGTATGGATCGATTGGCTCGGCCAGACGGCCCTTCATGGGTACAACTTCACAACCAATAGTTGGATTATTATTATTATTATTATTTAAATCTAACATCTTATTCAATTTAGGTCTTTTAAACCCAAAACGTTAAGAGGTATGTTAGCGGGCATTGAGGGGGGTTGGTCAATGGGACTGCATCGCACTTCAGACATTTTAGAGTCCTGTGTCCGCTTTCGAGTTTTGACCATTAAGGCTGCATTTGGATGCGGTTTCGGTTTTGTATGTATTTAGAAAGAGGGTGTAATTATTATCATCCTAAAATTATACTTCGATTCAGTTTTGAGTGCATTTGGATGGAATTAGTTTTAAACCTCATCAACTCTAAAGTTTTTAATGTAAAAGCTACATCAATTTTATGGATATAAAACTTTACATTCTTTCACTCATCAACTCTAAGGATCAATTGTGAAATTCTTGCAGTTTTCACAAAGGATAGTAGCCGACGTCAAGCTAGCCATTGAGAGCATGGCGCAGACTAGCAGCTGAGCTGACAGGCATCATAACATTAACGTGGGCATTGAAGTTCATTGATCGAATCCTTTGTGGCGCTCACTACACCAGCATGCTTCTTTGTATGATTCAAAGAATCGACTGTTATTTTCCTCTGAAATGCTAGCAGGCAACTGTGAGCCGCCTGGCCAACGAGTGGTGAATAGAGAGGACAGGGGCTACCTGCTACCAGGACCAGGCACAGCAGCCGAGCTGTGTGCTAGCTTTGGATTCTTTGTGAGCGTGAAAAACGGAATAGTATCACTTATGATCTTGGTGTCATACCCAATTATTCTGAATTGCCTGAATGTACAAGAATGTTTTCATTTCTATACTCGTACTGTTTTAACAATGTCGTCAGAGTTGGACTAGACAGAAAAGCAGAATGCTCAATGAGTGATTGGTTTTATTTAACCAGTTAACCAGCTGGTTAGCTTGTTCTGGCTGTGAACTGAAAACCAATGTTTTCAACCCACAGCTGAACTGGCTTATTGAACTAATTGGCCTTTAATCTGATCAGCTTTTCAGTTCAGGTCCCCTTTAGGCGTGGGTCGGGTAGGGCCAGTCCTTTATTAAATTCCAATAGACTCCAGCCCGATTTAGTTAAATTCTTCAGATCGGGCACGACTTGCAGTCCCAGTCTCTTTTGCCCTCAAACTATTTATTAAAAATTAAAAAAATAAGTGTGACTCAGTCAATAAAGCGGTGATAGCTACTTCGATCTACTACTTCTGTTTCAACCCAGTGGTCACAGGTTAACTATTGATAACAATAATTCTCATTTACCTCATTTTTTTTAACATGTTGAATATGTAATATTAGATATATGTCCAATTTTTTATAATTTTATTTATTTATTTGTTTTTAAATTTTATTATTTGATTTATGACATCATAAATTAACCTATTTGACCTTCACGACTGAACTGAATGCTGACTCAATGGATCCAGTCTCAGTCTAACAATACTGGTTTTAATGATTTATATTGTAGTTCTTGTAACTTCTTTTTTTTTTTTTGGATTTACCAGACATCACCTTAATACTAGTTACCAACTTACCGCCAAAAAATCATTTTTGCACAATCGTCACTTGAAACAGAATATATATATATATATATATATATATATATATATATATATATATATATCTCCTCACTTGTAGTTGTAGACTTGTAGTATCACACTATCACTTACAATGAGTGGTGGCATCTGCTGGTTCTTATGTGAGGGAGTGAGGGCTTACCATTGGAATACTGTCTGGTAAGTGGTAATGAACAGATTGAATTCTATGTGAAGATAATCTTCAATGAAAGCTGCAAAGGACCTTGTTCATTGCCAGGTTTGGATATTACACATGCATATTGTTAACTAACTTAACTTCATGAAGCTACAGTACAAATCATTAATTCATAACTAAGATCAATGAAAACCAAGATGGGTGGGTGCAAAACTGAAAGTTCGAGGCATCCACGAAACACTGAATTCGATGGCTGCAAGCCTGCAACCATCCCACCTAGACCTTGGATATCGTTCACCATATGTGTCTCCAAAAGGATGAGATCATAAGCCGATTCAGGTACCACTGCATCTAAATGTGCACAAATGGCTCCCATATTGGGAGATGACATCAACCAGTCCTCCATAGCCTCCAACTGCCATAACCTGATCATCAGAGCCCAAGGCTCCATGGAAGCATGAAGTGAGCCAAAGTTGCAAGTACTTATATTTAGAGTGTACAATCAGTTCAAAAAAATGAAAGAATATAACCATCGTCAAATGACTTCAGCCAAAGGAAGAAACTCTAGGACAAAAATTTTTTGAATTTAGTTAAGTAACTCTCTTAAATACAGTCTAACAAAAAAAGAGAAGGAAAAGATAGAGAATTATAACCTAGGAGGCAAACCATCAGACAGGAGATAACATTTAGTTTAGTGACTCTTGGAGTTTTTTTTTCCCTTTCTTCTTCTTTAGTATGATGGACTCACATTGGAGTCCCGTGCCTCGTAATTGGTGTTAGATTTAGTTGACTTATCTTTTACCCATCCAAAAAAGTAAAGATTTAATATAAATATGTTCCCTATCCATTTATCACCACAGTGATTAACTTCATTTAGGCTGCATTTGGCAATCCTTATTTTAAAGACTTGTCTCTTTTTTGCAGTTTAAAACTCGGTGTTCATAGGGGCATTTTAACAGCAAAAAGGAGACAAGTCCTTAAAAAGAGGAATGCCAAATGCAGCCTTAGAAGGCATGGAGTAATACATCAATTATTACAAAGCAACTCATATATTGAAACCAAAAAAGGGGTATAAGAGAACTTGATAAATATTGAGCAAAGACAATAATTTCATCAGCCATTAAAAGCCAATTCTGAGAATTCTGTGTATTAAAGCAATTGTCAAACTTTCCCATGGCATAGAGAAGAAAGAAATGAATAAGAGAATTACAAAAACAAAAACAAAAAAAACCGATGACAACAAATAAAATGCTCAATAATCCAAAGAAAGTTAAATCAAAACATACTCCTGAATGATGCAGGGAGATCGAAAATGCTGACTGAGGAGCACATTGTATATGTGAGAGAATTATCCCATTTATGTCAAAGCGACTGAGTATAGGCTCTGCTCCAACTACTAAAATCTGAAGATTGAAAAACCAAATGCTTAGAAGTGACCAAGAGAAAGAGGAAGACAGACAACTGAAGGTGGCAAAATGAATTTGTCAGGGAGATTAGAACTTTCAAATACAAGAAACTTATAATATAAAATCATCAGAGCTTAGACACTTCAAATAAAACATGCCTTAAAATTTTCAAAAAGATATTTATATTATAATGGAAATGAGTTTATGTGCAACTCCCCAGGACAAAGAAAACAAGGCCAGTGACAGTTCAAGACTCCAAGCCCAGAAAGGGGGCTCCCTTATACAAAATATACAGAATTAAAATCTAGCTCATAAAGGATGGATCTAGAAATAACTCACTCCTCATCAAACCTCTAGCAAGACCATCAGTGGTTAATCAACGGTCTAGGCATTCAGAACCTATCCATAGAGGGAGAATCAGCTAACACTTTAAAATGGCTAGGAAGACAGGAAGCCGGGCCATGGAGATTCAGTCACTTTCTGGCAGAGGCAAGGGATCTACTGGCAGCTTCAAACACAAATCTGTGATGGATTCCAAGGGAACTTAATGCTTTTGCAGATGGATTAGCAAAAATAGGTGCTCTTCTAAAAGTTCTGTACCGTGATAAGATCCCTCCTGTGTAAAATTCAGGGGTCTGCTCCCTATTTGTATTGTTTCCTTTGTACACCCTCTTGTGTACTCTTTATCTTTTCCTAATGAAACCAGTTAACTTTTCTCAAAAAAAGACCATCAGTGGTTAAATAGTGAATCTTGGAGACCATCTGAATGAAGGATTCAATCTGGCTACCAAAGATAATGCCTCCCCAATCTGATAACAGGGTCATCATGTGCCCCTAGATTAATCTTCTATCCATTCAATTGCAACCCAAGAATTGCCCTTAAAATCTCTCAAACGCCATGACAATTGATAATTGGAGGTTCTGAAGAATATGATTTGATTCCATTCCAAATCCAATTAGTCAAATTCAAATTGGGGTTGGATATCCTAAATATGCAATTGAATTCAAAGTACCAATACACCTTCCAGAATATCAGGGTGCACCGATACTTTGAACCTTGGTAAGTCATTTTTATAGGCATCCATCCAATTAAAAGCAAAAAGGAACTTTGGATGACTAACATTACTCAGGATGAACTCCAACACAAGGTGTGGCGTAGAGCTGCCTTGAGCTGCAGAGTGAACACATGGCAAATCCAGAAGGTCCCCTGTCTAGCTATATGATTGATGGTTTGATAGGCCACATTATTCCTTCATGTGGCAAAAATATGTCAGTTTGGTTCATCTATGAAAGGACCTCATACTTTTCCATTTTTAGTATATGAAAAATACATAAAGTTGAATTCATATTGGGCAAGTTCCACAACCCAACCTAATCTGTCCTAGAATTTTGTCACATTGGATAGGTTGGTAACATTGGTTGAGCTTGACCCTATTTGCACCCAGGTGTAAGTACCCTCCAAGGACCATGAGAAATTGGGAATATTTTGTAACGTTGGCTTCAGAATCCTTCATGAACCCAATGCTTTCAACACTTGACAGATATCCTTTATATTATTGCCCCATATTAATATCCGGCCTATGTCTGGCCTTTCCTAACTAAAGGACCTAAAGCCTACATCAATGAGATCTCGAAAAGAAAAAGTTTGATTTTCAACCTGTGGCAAGTGGAGGCTGAAATTTGGTCCACATACTATGTTGGTGATAATAACATAACTATTTTTCTATTAGAAGATCCCTGGGACATTTAGACTTTTTCACTAAACAATCCAACTAGAAGACCTGCTTTATGTGTGAGAGGCTTCTATTCTGCAAGACTGGGTTAAATATGAAGTGATATGGATACATTAAATAAATTAACATCCTGCTAAGACTGGGTTTAGTATGCTTTTCAATTAAAACAGACACCACAGGAATATTGAAGGACTTACTTGATTGTCATCAAATAATATGTCCTGTTTGGGGGAAGAAGTGGCAATTCTTGAAATCCACTCACATGCATGAAGATTCCAGACTGATAAAAACCTTCCACTGCTGCAAGCCTGGAACATGCAAAATAGATTAAAGCTACCATTAGAGTCTAAGTGAAAAAGCAAGAGAGGCAGAAGATCTGCTAATTCCTAATTTTAAGTTTTTAACCATACATGGAAAACCATTATTAGAGTAATACCTCTACTAATAAATGTTATTTTGCCCCTACCACGTTTGTGGGTAGAGCAGGTAGATGAGTTTTTCACTTTTTTGTTTAATGCATTTACTAATATGAAGGCAACAAATCAAGCTTTGACTTAGATTTTCAAATCTTCTCTCTGTTATCAAACAAAGAAAACAAGAAAAAGAAAAAGAACCTACACACAAAGTGCTATAATACACTTCTTGATACATACAATATAATAGTGTTGGAATGTTTTTCTTTATATTTATGATTGTATTCTGCTTAGTTGGGGCCTGTTTGGTCTGGTTAAAATAGCCTTTTTTTCCTTCGTTCATGTACTTTGACTACAGCAGGGGCATAAGGGTCTTTTCCCTTTTATTTATGGTCGCCCTATATATAATAACATAAGCTGGCGCCACCAGACAGATTAAAACTCTCTTCTCTCTCTCTTCTCTTCTGCTAATATGGTATCAGAGCGGTTCTACTGGGTCTGAGAGTAGATTGAACTTAGTTCTTTCTTCTTTACCTTGCTGTCTTCTTCAACTGATATCAGACAAGTTGACCTACGACTGGTGCAAGTTTGCTTTACCTTTATTTTCCCTTTCTCTTGATCATGTACCAATAAAAACCCTATGAAACAAGACTGCTGAATGCAGTCAGAGGAATTGTGAGGTTCAGACCTCTTTTTCTGTGGATCGTGTGATCCTGTACCTGAGAATGGGTTACTTGTAGGTCACGAATGACCTGTTTTTACCAAGTTTTGGTGTGACTTCACAGCTTTGTGATCTCTCCTAGTAGTTGGTGTGCTTAGGTGATTTGGAAAATTGGTCAATTGGGACTGTTAAACTTGTGCAGCGCTGAAATCAACCTAATTTTTTTTAAGAGAATGGGAGCTGGTCTGTGTTCAGATTGTACCCAGACCAAAGTGTGTGCATGTGGACTACACCTCTAGTGTGTTTTTTGGACCATTTTGGGTATTAGGAGAGATCTTAAGGTGTGTTGAAACTGAAAAATGTTCTCGAATCATGTCCTCTGAGAATTCTGCAACTTATGGGATTTCAGGAGGTCAAAACAGAATGAGTGGGGGGATAGATATGAGTTTCCCCATGGCTGTAATTCCCTTTGATGGACTAAACTACCTTGAATGGTCTAAGGGAATTAAACTTTACATTACTACTAGGGGAAAATAGGGTATATCAATGGTAAAGTGAAGGAACCAAAGTCTAGAAGTACTGAAAATGACAGGTGGGACCAAGAAAGTAGTATGGTGATGTCATGGCTCTTGGTTTCCATGCTACCACAAGTAAGGAAGACATTTATGTGGGCTGAAACAACTTGTGAAATATGGGAACAAGTGAAATCTACCTATTCAGAGCAGAGGCACTATGCAAAGATATAACAATTACAAGCTGAATCCGCCACCTGCAATAAGGGGGAGAGGAGTCTCTCGGTGTACTACTCAAATCCGACATCAATATGGAAGGAACTGGATCATTATCAAAATGTGAATTGGAAGTATGATGAAGATGTAAAGACCTATAAGTCACTTGTCTCCCAACAACGAGTAATTGCTTTTCTTTTGGGGCTAAATCCTACATATAAGTCCATGAGGGTACAAATCTTAGGAAGTAAGAACTTACCTTCAGTTCAGGAAGTTTATGCCTTAGTATCTAAAGAGAGTAGAAGAAGTGTGATGAATTGTATAGAGGGGGAGCTGGTTGCACTAGCTGTCCGAGGAGGTACAAATTCAAATGTCGGAGGCCCTTTCAAGAACAGAAGAGAGTAGATGACAAAGACAAGCTTTGGTACACCCACAGTCAGAAGTCCAGGCACAGTAGAGACACATGTTGGGAACTCCATGGCAAGCCTAGATGGGCTCAAGAATTGAGCAAGAAGCCAACCTAGTAGAGTCAGAAGAAATATAACTCAGCAAATGTGGCATCTCAAGAGACTAGTCCCATGGTACCCCAGGAGCGACACTCTGGTTCTAACCCGAAGGAAGAAATTATCAACTCCTTCCGTGACCACTTGGAATTATATAGCAGGACACTTCGCCAAATGGATTATGGTCCTACTCCTTCTACCTACTTTGCGCCTACATTAGGTAACACCGCCATTGCTTTCCATGTGTCATCGCATACATCTGATTTCCCTTGGATAATTGACTCTGGAGCCTCAAACCACATGATTGGTAAGTCAACTTTATTTCAGGTATATAACCTCCTCTCTCGGAGAGATAAGGTGAGACAAGTTGATGGATCATTCTCCACCATAGCCGGTCAAGGAACCATCTCCCTTCCTTTCGGTCTTACCCTCTCTAATGTGTTGCATGTTCCTAAATTACCTATCAATTTACTTTCCATTAGCAGTATTACTCACTCCTTGAATTGTTCAATCACCTTCTTTCCTTCTTTGTGTGTGTTTCAATATTTGGCCTCAGGAAAGACGATTGGTAGAGGAAGCATGGTGGATGGTCTCTATGTGTTGGAGAACAAAGCCGGTCTTGTGGCTACAGAGTCCTTAAGTTCATCTGTGAGAGTCATGCCTATTTATGGCATAGTCATCTTGGTCATCTTTCGTTCAAGTCTTTAAAACTTATGTTTCCTGAGTTATTTAAATCTTTGTCAGTTAGTGGGTTACAATGTCAGACATGTCAATTGAGCAAACATTGTAGAAATCCATTTCCTTTAAAAAATAAAAGATCTGAATTTCCGTTTCATAATGTCTATTCTGATGTTTGGGGCCCTGTTACTCTACCTTCTAAGACTGGATATAAGTATTTCATTACTTTGATTGATGACCACTCTAGATATACATGGGTTTATCCTATGCGTTCTAGAGATGAAGTGTCAAAGATTGCGAAAGATTTTCAACACATGATTTTTACTCAATTCCAAACTGAGATTCATATTTTCCAGCCGAATAACGCAAAGGAGTACTTCCATAGTGATCTGACAGAGTTCTTTGCTTCGTGTGGTTCTCTTCATCGGAGCTCTTGTGTTAGGACACCCCAACAAAACAGTGCTGCCGAAAGGAAAAATCATCATCTTCTCGAAGTAGCTCGTGATTTATTACTCTATATGAATGTTCCAAAACGCTTTTGGATGGATGTTGTTATGTCTGATGCACATCTCATCAACTGTATGCCATCTCAGTTACTAGAGTACAAGGCCCACATCAACTTTTGTTTCGTACGACTCCCATGTCCCCTATTCCAATGTGTGTCTTTGAGTGCCATTGCTTTGTTCATGACTTGTCCCCTTCTCGTGGTAAGCTTGATCCTCGTGCCATTCCTTGTGTTTTTTGGTTACCCTTTATCTCAAAAGGGTTACCATTGTTATGACCCTGCCTCATGCAAATACTATGTCTCCATGGATGTATCCTTCTTTGAGAGTTGGCCTTTTTTCTCGGTTTCTCCTCAGAGGGAGAGTAGGGTTGAGGAGAAACACACCCAGACTTAGACTCAATTACTTCCTCTTCCTGATCCTCCTCCATTTCATGTCTTCTTTCGCCTCCATAAGAGCCAATAGAGTTCAATAGTCGTGGAACCTAAAACTATGCAACCAATATCATCAGACTCTCTATAGGCAGATCCTCCTCATCAGCCAAATACACTTATTCCCATTGATATGTCTAAACCTCTTGATATTGATTCCCCTGTTATTAATGATCTTGATGTTCCTATTGCTAAGAGAAAGGGCGTTTGATCTTGTACTACTAATCATCATATCTCTTTGTGTCCTATGATCATAATTCACCTTCATATCATGTGTTCCTTTCCTCCATTGACAGTGTTTCTATTCCTAAGAATGTGGCAGAAGCTTTATCCAAACCTGAATGGACAGATGCAATGAAGGAAGAAATTAATGCCTTACACAAAAATGGCACCTGGGAGTTGGTGGATCTTCCTGAAAGAAAAGAACCGATGAAATTCAAGTGGGTGTTCACAATGAAGCATAGGGTTGATGGTACAATAGAAAGGTACAAAGCCATTTTAGCGGCCAAAGGGTTTACACGAGTATATGGAGTAAACTATGTAAAGATCTTTGCTTCACTAGCCAAGATGAATTCTATCAAAATCCTCCTTTCACTAGCAACCAATCTTGAGTAGGAACTTCACTAATTGAATATTAAAAAATGCATTCTTGAATGGTGACCTAGAGGAGGTGTACATGACTCAACCTCCAAGTTTTTGTGCCAAAGGTAGTGACAGAAGGTGTGCAGGTTAAAAAAATCATTATATGGGTTGAAAAAATCACCTCGGGCCTGGTTTAGTAAGTTTTACTTAGTTGTACACCAAATGGGGTTCAAACAATGTCAGTCAGATCATACTCTGTTTGTGAAGAAAGGTGAAGGAAAAGTTGCAGCTTTAATTGTGTATGTTGATGACATAGTGGTTACAGAAGACTGGAAGATTGAAACATAGAAGCTGAAGAAATTCTTAGCCACTCAATTAGAGGTGAAAGATTTAAGCCCCTTACGTTATTTCCTTGGGATTGAAGTCGCCCACTCTCAAAAGGGCATCTTTATTTCCTAAAGGAAATACGTACTAGATTTATTAGAGGATGCAGGCAAATTGGGGGTGAATCCAATTGATTCACCCATTGAGCCTAACCATCAGTTGGGAGACAGTCAAGGGGAGTTTTTGAAAGATGTGAAGAAGTTCTAGAGACTTGTAGGGAGACTCTTATACTTGTCTATGACCAGGCCTCATATTGCCTATGCAGTGGGTGTCCTTAGTCAGTTCATGCATAATCGTAGGACAACTCACTTTGAAGCTGCAGAAAGGATCTTTAGATACCTCAAGAAGTTCCCAGGAGCTGGTTTTCTATTCCAGAAACATGGGCATTTGAAGGTTGAAGTGTATACAGATGTTGATTGGGCAGG